TCTTCCTGGATTGTAAGTAGCGTGTTCAGTGACTGCACGTCCACGAGCATGAGCTTACACTTTGTGACTGCAAAGTGCATCCCAAAGAAAGGGATGACTTTGGTCAGTTAATCGAAGAATACTTGCGCCTTTTCCTCCTCTTCGAAGATGAGATCGATGTCGTCTGCATATTCCAGATCGACAACGTTTTCTTCACTGGCTATTTGAACACCAGGGTTTTGGAGACCCTCCAGCGTTTGTCTCATTATTTCATCGATCACGAAGTTAAATATAAATGGAGAAGGTGGGCATCCCTGACGGACACCACTTTGTGTACGGAAGCTTTTGGATAGCTTGCCGTATACTCTCACACGTCCAGAAGTCTAAGAACACAATCAGCTTATGTTCACGAACTTCCGGAGCATTCCTTGGAGGGCGAGTGTCTCAAGAAAAACAGACCGCCCAACCGAAGGGAAAGCGCCTTGGAAATCCAGGAACACTAGAATTGTGGTTCGCTTATACGTATGGCGTTGTTCTGGCACCTGACGAAGTGTGAAGATTTGGTCAACGCGACCCGCTTGCTCCTCTCGAGTCCATGTCTCACGAGCCACCATAAGGCGACGAAGCATCAGTGACGCCAACAGTCTCGTTAGGACCAGGGTCAACCTGATCCCCCTGTGGTTACCACACTCACTATGAGCCTCTTTTCTGAAAATGGGCACTACAACCGACTCTTACCAGTTGCCTGGGACAGATTGTTTCCCAAGTGCAAGCAAACAGATTGAACAAGCGCTGACTGAGGACTTCACCACACTCCACGGTCGGCTTGCACGCTCACTTTCACTTGACATCTGACGATTCGCTACGTCAAATTATGTTCGGGACCAGCTGGCTGGGATATTTCTCCGAGATTTCAGAAGTGCCACCGTTCGGTCTGACATCCAGTGCTTGAGTGAGCCTGGTGGTGCTGTGCCACGGCCGAATTCCCAGCACTATGCGAAGAGGTGGCAATCTCGTCCCAGTATGTGTTCACATCTGTTTGTGGAACACTTGGAAGAGACTCCAGTGGACGATTCAGGTAGATTCGTCTAACATCCGGTCTGCCAGTCTCTCAGTTGCCAAGCGATTTGTCCGACCCAGAGAAGCGTAGGACACTATCACCGATTCTTCCCAGTTGTCTGGGACAGACTCATTTTCCCAAATGCAAGCAAACAGGTCGGACAAGCGCTGATTGAGGACTTCACCACCGTCTTTGAACAGTGCGGGTGGAAGGTCATCCGGACCGGGAGCTCGGTGGCGCTTGAGAGAACATATGCAGTCGTAAACCTCCGAGGCCGTAGGTGGTTCCACGTTCACCGTCTAGGGTTCTACTTCACCTGTGGGCTGCAGATGAGTGCCGGCTGGTGGCCAAGACATTTGTTGTTCAAAGT